TTTTTTTTTTTTTTTTTACTCGTTCGAAACACGGGCTTTGTCGTGCGAGAGGGAGCGAGAGAGCTTCCTTCTCTTCGCTTCCACGTATTTCAGATTCGAAAATTAAATAACATCGCCGCAGGCCCGATCCTTTGTTTCGCATCATACGCGCGCCGCGTAATGAAATATACGTGGCACGGCGAGTTACGCGAATTTGACGTACGTATGCGAGATTAAAACTCGCGAAATTGCGGCCGGGTCTGCCTTCTCCCTTGCGACGTTTCGTTTAATCGAGATTTAATGGCAATTATAAACCTCCCCGACCAGCCGGACGCGAAAAGCGAGCAACGCTGGAGAGAATTCTCTGAAATATTAACTTCGCGAAACGACCGCTCGTGGCGATTTCGCGTTTGTCTCCTTCGTAATTGTTTACCTTTCACGAGACCGGAAGAAGTGGAGCATGCTTGTAAGCGCCATCGTAACACATCCATTCAAGAATTTACGCTCGTTTATTCAGCGATAAATTTTAGATCAACGTCCGCGAGTGGCAATTAATCGCCGATAAAAAGAGTCGTTATTTTCACGCTCAATTTTCACGTCAATTAATTCGTCATTTCTCAATTTGAGCGATGCGGCGGTATCTTTGACACGGCAAGCGTGTCACGCGATAAAGTTTTGGAACATTTTTAAATATTTTATTGTACAATTATGTTATGCTTGCGCCGTTGTATATTTAATCATTAAATATATTTCTCTTAATTCGCACAAAAGCGGGATTAACCCCGTAGAAAGGAATGGTTCGGGAAAAACAAAAGGGCCCATCTCTCTGTCAGCGAGATTGCGGTCATCGTGTACGACCGCGCGTGTCCCGGGCTTTAGCGTATTACAGTAAAGAGTTCCATTATCATGGTGGAGCAAATTCGAAAATGAAATAGCGTAGCCGCCGGCTGGAACTTTGGCCGGCGCCGCTAACGAAACAATTCCGGCTGCGCGCGGGAAAAACGTATTATCGTGGCAAAGTTAGTTTCTCGCAACGCTCGCGCACTAAATTAACGAATCACCGATTTTTACCCAGGCCCTTTGGTCGGATATTTCAAATACACGTACGATTTAACACAAAAAATATACCATTTTCCATCACGAATATCAGATTTTCCGGGGCCTTTTATACTTTTTGCATCAAGAACTACGTTTTCAATAGTGTATTCTTACGTATGTTTCCAATAATATTTTATAAAAGATATTTTATGATTTTTATATATATATATATACACACATACATATACATTTAAAGCCATTTTTACTTCTCTTCTAACTAGTTACAACGGTGCAATGGTTTTGCGAAAATAATAAACTCTATTGTTTGAAACAAACACATTATATTAAATGAACAAACATGTCCATTATTTATATAACACAAATTACAAAATTGTGCAATATGCCCCCCATTAGAGAAAAATATAGTATTATATCTTCTCTAAAATATATAAACTGTTATTAATGATCCATTTACCGCTCACACACAATGTGACTCTGTCAAACGTTAACGTTGGTATTCGATAAAATTATTAGCTATCATGTTTACCCGACTTGCAGAACGCTTAAAGTTTATAATAACGACGTCGTCTCACAGTTTTTATCTTTGTGTTTCAGGTTCGTTCCAGGCACTAATACAATACGCGGATATGCTGTCGGCGCAGACTGCTAAATTCGTAAGTATTCACTTGACTTTGCTTCCCCTCGTTGGTCTCCATTTTATTTCTTCCTCCTTGTTTTCTTCCTCTTTTTCTTTTTCTTCTTTTTAAGAGTTACCTTCTTTTCCGTGCGAGGGCCGCTATTGTACCAGGGCAGCGCTTATCCGTTGCGTTCCCACGGGACAGATCGAAATTTTCCGTAGAGTATCTCGCGCCGAGAAAATATTTTCCTACCCGCATCCCCTTCGGCGAAGAAAGCCGCGATGCGGCGCTTAATTACAGGAAGTGAGCTCGATGAATGCGTAATCGAAAGATTGATGACGGAAGAAAAAATTCCGACGTCGAGGCAAGATCGCGTTTCTCCTGATATACGATATTTTCCCCGGATTTATGGAAATATCGGCTGCTTTGCAAGCCAAATTAATTCTTGAAGCGCGGACCGCAGATGCGCGATCGATCTATTCCTCGCGCTTCACGCGATTCATCGATACCGATACTAAACTTTATTCGCGGCATTACATGTCGTATCTTTCTCTCTCCTCTCTCTTGTTCTCTCTATCATCGATATTAATTTACTGCTTTACTTATAATTCCCGTAATCGTTTATTTAACCTGCGCGAGATTTAAAGAGCGCCACATCCTGACGATAACCACTTCTATTTTTCTTTTTTTTTAAGGAGGTTGAGAAAGCCGTAGCATTAAACTTGCCGCTGTTTAAGGTATCACGAGTTATGTCTCTGGCGTAAACTTTTGTTTTACCTGCGTATCCCTGTAATATCGTTTTATCCCTATAATCATGAGCTAAAAGTATCACGTGTCCTCTGACGAAACTACTCCCGCTCTTCTCTCTTTAAAAAAGCTGAGAGACTTTCAGCAGCATTAAAGTTGGCACTGCTTTAAAAAAAAAAAAAAAAAAATGGAAAATGTGCGCGTGTAGTTTTTGTTCTTAAACTTCTCTCTATCACATGGATGACGCAACTAATTTCTATAAAGTTTGTTTATTCCCTAAACGCACGTTGTACCATAAGCTAGTACATTCAAATGCTAATAATTTTTTTTTTTCTACAGAGAATAAAGGATGTTCTCTATAAACTTTCTAAAAGAATTTCAAATTTTCTCTCTCAAAAACTCTTGCTATAATTAAATATATTAACACTCTGTTTTTGTTGATTTAAACACGTTTCTCCCGATTGTATTTATCGTGATTTACTCGCGCGGCTTTTTTCTTAGTAAATTCCATTGTGTCTTATGTGTGTTTGAGATGACTCGATAATCTTTGTGCAAGTGAGTGTGATGCAGCTACTTCGCTGCCGTGTATATATACCCTCCGAATGTGTGTACTAATTCTACGTTACTTAATCGCTGTCATTTAAAGTGTATTGTTTTAGCATTATACACAGGGAAAAGCTCACTCCAGCTTTAAATAAAATACATAAGAATATTCTTTTTTTTATTTTTTACTGTTTCGAAATTCTTTCGAGAACTGTGGAAGCTGGAGATCCAGAAAATCGCTTGTAACAATCGGTACGTAAAATGCAGATCTGAAAGGGTTAACGGGACGCTCGCCTCGTTACATCTGGAATCGTACAGTGTCAGTAGTTATTTGCGTGTAGGATATGTGTTATGTTGTTTTACATCGTCAACGACAAGTAGTCGCGAACGGCGAAAGCTCGCCAGAAACTTCCGGCACTTCTCGCGCCCGTTCAAATTCATTCCTCGTGTTCGGAATCCTCCTTTTCCCTTCTCTATCCCCCATCGACTCTCTGCTCCCGCTCCGGTAAGCTCGACGCCGCAAACTAGTAAACCCGCGCGCTGATCAAAGGGAAAATTAATTCGCCTGAAATACACCGGTTTCGCCGCGAACCATCACCTACGGTGGTTGTGCAAGACAGAAAATTAATTTAGCTTTGTTGCGGATATCGCTCTTCTCCGAATCTCCCCTCTCCCTTTTCTCTCCCTCTTTCTTTCTCTCCTTTCGCTTATCCTAGTCTCTTTTTTTCGTTTTTCTCAATATAAAGGCACAAATGATAGCGAGTACTTACTGTTAGATAAATCTGTCGTTTTCCAAACTGTTACACGATTTCTCCGCGAATATACTCGGATCGAATCAAAAACTTGCGAATATCAACTCGATATCGTTTCTGATCTTCTTAATATTGCGTGTTGTTTGAAAGGAGCGTCGCTTACAAATTCGCTGGCAAAATCGATCCGTCTCGTTCATCGATTATATAACCGGCACTCGACCATGAATAAATCGCCCGAGGAGCAGAACGAAAGAGCAAGGGAGACAAAGAGAGGTCGCCGTGCGCGCACGCCGGAGGCTCGCGGCGCGGGCCGACCCAGTAATTATGTACGAAATTCATTAGCTGGTGTAAATATAGAGCGGGAGCGTGGCCAGGCACACACACACATATACACACATATATATACACGCGTCATTGTTGTGCACAATGCAGAGGCCACGCACTACTCAAACAAGCGATTCAAACCAGCAATCCCCTCTTGAACGCAATTGGCGAACAACCTGTAAGGTTCATAATATGTTCCAGAATCAGTATCAAATGATAGACGGGCGATGCGCATCTTGATCTGATTCGACGAGAAGTTTTTTCGGATTTCTCTGAAAATACCGTAGCGCGAAACCGATTTTCTGGGTTTCTTCGAGTTTGTGCAGAGTTTATAAGCTTCTCCCGATCGAAGACTTTTCGAAACTTTTCGATCTACAGCTTTTGTTAACTTTTCTCTGTGGCCGATCCTCGAGTCACAATCTCTATACGAGATTGTCTGATCTTTCTTATTAAATCGATTGAATAATTGCTGTGGTAATAGGACAGTTTTTTCTCTTAAAAGATTTTATCATTTTTTTCTTTCAAATTTCTCTGTTACGTTTTCGAAACAAAATACTAAATAAAGGCCTCTGGTCCTCTCAGTTTTATCGAGATTTTAATTAAATTAAACTGATAGAAAATTATGCAACAAAACGATAGGGAAATATCCCTTTGAAGAATCACAAAAAAGATAAATCGATAGAAAGACATGCGTGAGTCACTATGGTGTATTCTAAGCTTGAGCACAGAAGCGTTAATCGTTACTGGGATCGCGAATAATGAAGAATTGCATGATTTCTTGCGCAGTCGCTCGACGGACAGAATGTCTACAATTCCTGAACGTCAAGTACAACAACGACAAGTCCCGGGATTATACCAATCCGAATCTACCGACCGGCGATGCCAACCTGGACGCCGCATCGCTCGCCCTTGGCGGCGAATTGCTACCCCAGTTGCTGATGGGCGCCGGTTCCCAGCCACGTGCCAGAATACCCGGTGAGTATTTTCCTATAAATACTTTGCCTTCTTCCTCCGATTCAGATCGTATTCGATCCCTTAAATAAATCGCATTATTTATAAACGTGTGTATATATAAATTATATATATACATATACATTATATATATTAGGACGCGAAACGGAAGTCAAATACGATGCATGAACAATGAACGCGTTAATCTTGTGTATACGATCCTATATAGTAATACACTGTGCATATAGTCAAATATACGATAGAATTCGCAATAGACGTTCGTGCAAAATTCATCGTCATTAAACGCTAGTCAGACTCGGGGAAATTCAACGGAAGCGATTCTGAATGGACCGTATGTGACACATAAACAATGAATGTGCATGATTCTATACAATACTACGATAATAGTTGAATATATGGATGGTTTGCGATAGGCGTTTTCAAAATTCATTGCACCATTAAATCTACAATTGTGTATGAATTTTCCCTGTTTTTTTTTTCCCCCTTTTGTACTTTTCACGAGCGAAAGCTTTTAAAGTTTTATAAAAAGCACAATTAAAAGATTGATTAAACAATACGCGGCACGATCTCGCGCAATATTATATTTTATTGAAATTAATTATGTTAATAGAAATATACCGATTTTCCGTCATTTTGACATCGCGCTAAATTATTATTATTATTATCACAATAAAATAATAATAATTATTATTATTATTATTATCATCATTATCAACTCGCGATGGTGGGAGTAATTTGTTGGCGTTTAAAACTTCGTCCTGTCCGCCACGTGTGTGCGCCGGTCGATCAATCGTAATTATTTCCTCGGGTGAATTAATTAATTACAAAGTACCGGACGAGCGATCCGGCTTGGCCGCGTGCCGAATTGTCCGGATTTTTGCGTTTGTTACCGGTACGACAACGCTAGTTTAAATTACACGCTCGGTTCGGGTCGCTTGTTTGGGTTAAATTAATTTCACGGCGTCGTTGTTGGTATTTAATCTGTAACGTACTGTAATCCACTTTGCGCGTCCTATCTCGTTGCGCAAACAGTTCGTTGATGGCCGAGGATTAGGAGAGACCCGCGACGGTCAGCCGCATAATTAATCCGGGCGCATTAAGAAAATCGACCGCGTGCGGAAAGATTCTCATATGAGAGAAATTCTCGGCCCTCCGTATCCCCGGAAAGCTCCCGGGGAAGAGGCGCGAGTCTCTCTATGGTTCTCGATCCAATTCTCGTCCTGTATCATTTAAGATCGTTATATCATACCTTTTTTTCCTTATCGCAATGTTTAACAGTGATAATAACATCATCTGAACTTCCTGAAGTAGAGTCCATTGCAGGGGCACCGGGTGTGCTGCCCACGCCCTTCGCGGCCATGCACGGCCTCCCGTCGCCCTTGGCCGGTCCCTACAACGGCGTGCCTCCGGCCGGGGGGCTCGCGGGCCTTGGTGGATTCCCTCTCGGCGCCGCTGGTTTGGGGGTACGGGTGCAGGGAAGCGCCCAGGCATCGGCCGTGTTGCTCGTCAGCAATCTCAACGAGGAGGTAAGTAACCCGAAACTTAGAAACTTTCTTCTCCTTTACCGTTTCCCGACGCGTTGCTCCCTCGACGCTAAGGACGAGAGAAGCCACACGAAGACCTTCAGCGAGGCATGCACGAAGAAAAGGTGGACGGAGCCCTTTCGAACCCTTTATTTGCTCGCGATAATCTCATCGAGAATTCTTAGCGGGCTGACATGAGACGCTCTGGAAGCACCGGAAATTTTCTTCTTGTATTTTTCCATCAATCGCGGAATCATGTAGAATGACCGGAAAGTTTTGCTTCCGCTAAGCGTCCGTTTAACTCGTTTCGATCGAAACGTTTGCCGAGAAAATTTTCAATTTGATCACGAGAACTTTCCAATTCTAATTAATTTACATCGAAAGAATTTGTTTTGATCTGACTGCATAAAAAATTTGCATATTTCTTTTATGTAAAATACATTAAAATATACCATGTTATTGATCCTGAAACCGCATTTCTCAGCTTGGTTCTGATCGTCCTTAATTAGAAGCTAGTCCAAATTAGACGTAAATGCCAGATAGTGAACATAGAGACATTCTGTTTGCGGATTTCTAAGCACGATATATGAGCATTTAGCGAGACGAAATATTAAATATACGCACGCACACGACGATGCGGGGGAGTGTCGAGTAAACTGAGAGCAACACTGAGAGAAATAGAGATCTCCCGCCGCCACATACGTGCGAATAAGTGTGTTGTATGCGAATAATAATACATCTTGTAGGACGGTCTCTGTCGTGTAATGTGTGTGTTTGCGAAAGTCTTTCTGATTCCCGCGTATCTCCATTGCGAGGAACATAACCGGGTCTTACCCGGCGCAAAACACACACACACACGCACATACGACACATCTATACGCACGACCGCCTCTTCTTTACATCTCTCTGTACCTCTCTTCTCACTTCTCCCTGTCTATTCTTTTCTCTCGTACCTCCCGTCTCGGGCTCTCGTACTCTGTTCATCGTATGCCCAACTCTCGTTAAGAAACCGCAACGCTATTTCTCTCAGTGTCGCTGCGACACGCGCGACCAACCAACCAACCGAACCACCCCCGCCCACCAGGTATATATACGCACGTGTATAAACAGGTATAATTACACAGCCTAACGAGCGAGTTACAACGTAGTGCTACGTAGGCGAACCCCGCAGTCTCTCGTTCCTTTGGCTCGGTCTTTCCATCGAGCCCAGTCACGATCGGTCTCCCGAAAACTTAAAGATCCAGTAGAGATCCATGAGATTGCAGAAAATATTGTAGCTCAGTTTATATTCGTTAACGAGAAGATAATCCGTCATAAGAGAGTAGTTGCAAAATTTATTTTATTCGCGACATTAAACTCTGCAATGTTTGTTGATATATTACACGTTGATAAAAATTGCATTTAGAAATTGTATTAAAGAAGAGAATGCGTCTGACACCTTTTTATTTGATGCAATTTATCTGGTAGAGTTAATCGAAATTTTTCGAGATCATCTTGCTTAGGTGGATGGAAAGATCGAGCCGCGATACGTATGTGTCCTGTTTCGTCACGAGACCTTCGATTCTGCCCCTACTTGCCCCGCTCATTTTCGAAACACACATACAGATCACTCCAACGTCACCATTCTGCGCCCTAATTAATTCGTAGCGTCGTCGACTACGACGTTACTTTCTACGAGGCGACGTTTATTTCATGCATTTCAATTCATGATATAAATTATAGATATATTAAAAATCATGTGTTTTTATTATCTATTTGTATTTACGTATAAATCATCCCTTACGTCTCTTCGCTATAGAGACATTTATACTTGTATACTTGCACTCGGCTCTTGCATACAAACTTAAACGTGGCGTTTAAAGGCAAAAACGACGAACATTATCAAGTAAGAAACATCAGCAGGATGATGAATGTCGCCTCGGCAAGAAACTGTGTGTCGGCGTCACACTTCGCAGCTGCAACTTGTCACTACTGTGTCACTATAACTGTGTGTACTACTATCGTTGCGTCGCGCACAAGCTTCGTACAATCCGATCTGATCGTCCTCGCGAATCTCGTTTTTCGATTTTCGCGAAGCAAAAAGATTTCTCTGATTCTCTATCGTGTGAAAAATTGCATGAATATAATATACACTGTAAAAATAGAAATAATCTAGAGTTTTCCTTTGTTGTATTTTACACGAAGAGTTAATCGTATTTTTTCCCCTCCACTCAATCATAAATTTCCCGCGATGAAACCGCGAATCTTGTGCGCTTCGCCAACACTATACATTGAATCCTATTATACTCGCTGACTACTGACTGGACTCTGTCTGTTCTCTGTGTAGATGGTCACGCCTGACGCTCTCTTTACCCTGTTTGGTACGTCTCCACATTTATATTATTAATTATATTACATTATTAATTATTATATTTACACCCTCTCGCGCTCTTCTCACGCACACATAGCCACACGATCCGAATACGAACGCGTGACACACGAAACATATCGCTCGGATACACGCGCGATTAAGATAAAAAAAAAAATGAGAAAAGAAATAGAGGATATGTATAGGCAAAAAGACAATGTATTGGAATTTTTCCGATCAATCCGGTGAATATTGTTCGCGATCTGAGCAATAACGCGCACGGACATATACACGAACGTAGAATCTTTCTCACACACGATTGTCACATCCGAATTTTACGTCATACCAAAGAGAAAAGATTTCTTCCTTCTTTTCCGGTTTTTTTTATTTGATTTGATTCTATTTGTTTCTCTCTCTCTCTTTCAACTTACTAAAACTCGAGAGCATTGTCATTCTTCTTCTGAAAAATCATGTTTACTCTCGTGAAACATCCGCCATAACATATATTCTCTGATTTAACGTTTAATCCGTATTCTTCCGATATTTTCGTGATTTCAACTTATTTTATTACTACAAGCTATTCCATTCGCAACTCACGATCACCGTCATATACATACGTCATTGCCATCGTCATATAATAACAGCGCCATATACTATCGGCCACCAACGAACACACGTTCTCCCACACATTCTCTACTTCCAAGCTCTCTTCTAAATTATTTCATTAATATTTTTATTAATATCAGTTCCACACAACCTTAATATTACGTAAGCTTTCGCTTATTTTACGTAATTCCATAGGAACTCACTATTAACGAGGCGTGCGACTCGGCCGTCGTGTTTTTTCTGTGAGCTGCGATTGTTATGCAGATTTTCCAGGATAATTACAGACAAACGTACAAAAGTCACGTACTATGTTGAAAAACGCGTTTTAAAAATTATTAAAATTTCTATCCATCTTTTTCTCTCTTTTTCATACACATTTCTTCTTTCGCGGTTTTTCGCGCTAGCGAAAATTTCATCCGCTTAACTATGCAGTTACGTAATATCGAGAAATGTAAAATTTAAATGAATTAAACTCTCCGTGTAAAAAAACTGTTGTTGTGTCCTTAATTTTTGTAATGCATTTTAGTTTAATATAAATTTATTTAATTGTCAAAATATTAAAAACTAGAGATTTTTAGTATTTCTCTATCCCTTCTATGATTTCTCTTTTTTTTCCATTGAATTATTATTTTTTAAAAATGTGTTATGAAAAGGAAAATTAACTTGACGTATCTTGTATTTTAAAACGTAAAAGTAGAAATGTGTCAATAATAAAATCGCTTTGTGTGCTAACAGAAAAAAAAGCTTTTTATATTTCTGTAGAAATAAGAGCCGAATCGCTCGCCTCTTGCATGTCCCGAATCTTAGATCCGATCGTATCCCTCGATCGACCGAATATTGTCCCGTTCATCTTCGATAATCCTTAGACGCGCAGCCTCTATAAAAGAATACACGGTATACCGAGATCACTCGAGTTTACTAAAGAGAAATTTGCGTATATTGTGCATATAGGCGTTTACGGGGATGTACAGCGTGTGAAGATCCTCTACAACAAGAAGGACTCGGCACTAATACAGATGGCCGAACCTCATCAGGCGCTTTTAGGTGAGTGCACATATCACGAAATGCGACACCTGCGACGATTTGAAATCACGTTTCATCACCGTAAACAATTCATAATTATAATTATATTATAATTATGCGCGTAAATACATTAATGATTAATTAACATTGTTTGTTTAATTTGTGTAACAGCGCTGACCCATATGGACAAGTTAAGAGTGTTTGGGAAGCAAATCAAAGTAATGCTTAGTAAGCACCAAACGGTCCAATTGCCAAAAGAAGGTCAGCCGGACGCGGGCCTCACGAAGGATTACACTAACAGTACCCTTCATCGATTCAAGAAACCCGGCTCGAAAAATTATCAGAACATCTATCCGCCGAGCGCAACTCTGCATTTATCAAACATTCCGTAAGTAATCTGGCGACGATAAAGTAAGATCCATACTCAATGAGCGCTGCATTTTTCCTACTCTTAACGGCATTCAATTTATCCTATTCAGGGCTACGGTAGCTGAGGAAGAGATCAAGGACGCTTTTACCAAGAACGGCTTCACCGTGAAAGCCTTCAAATTCTTCCCAAAGGACAGGAAGATGGCTCTCATACAGATGCCTAACATGGACGATGCCGTGGCTGCGCTGATCGTGAGTAGCTTTCGCAATTAACTCGTTAGTCCCATAAGGAGCGAAAATCCTAATTCTCCGCGGCGGAAAATAAAATTTGCTACAGCCACGTTATAAAAAGAAGACGTACATGGCATCTTTTTATGGTGTGCGTCTTCGTTTATCGTAGATATCTTCCAAGAGTAAAAAAAAAATTAACTTGTGAAGTCTGATAACTTTGCAATAGAAACATAGAACGTATATTTCAGTTAATTTAAAATCGACCTCTTTGTTTCTTTTTCGCAGAAAATGCACAACTACCAGCTTAGCGAGTCCAATCACCTCAGGGTGTCATTTTCCAAGAGCAACATCTAACAAGAATCGCCACCGCACGAGCAGCAGTGGTACCAGTCCTACGCCCTAGTTCCCCTTTGGTCACCCGCCTCGGTCTACGACTGATGGTCCGGCAGTTGGTTTCGCACAGGTGCTTGTCCGTTCCTGCGACGCTATTATCGGCCGGCTGTATTGCACGCGAGACCCATACGAGATTGCGCGTTTGGACTCCAGAGCAGCACAAGCGGACAGGCGCTGTTTCGTTCGAGCGAGCTTAGGATGCTTTCGAGGCCTTGCTCTCTGTTGTTGGACGTCTTTATGGCACAAACGTGTTTCCGCATCCGGTCGATTTTGTCGATACGAGGGTTGCTAGGGTGTTTCGAGATGTACCAGAGCTGCAAGCGCTGAAGCTAAATGACGAAGAGACAAATTCGCGACGGCCTTCTCGAAGGTAGTTTCCGGTGCTGGCTTTCGAACGCGTTAACGCGACAATTTCGTAATTTTAGAAACAGATGAGAGATTTTTAATGGTGAGAAACAGTGGAGAGGAAAGATAAGGAGAAAGAAAGAGATCGCGATCGATTGATCGATTATTCTCTCTCGTGAAAGCCAGGACCGTTGTGCGAAGAGGAAAACACAAAAGAGAGAGAGAGAGAGAGAGGCAGTTGAGACGAAGAGTCTGGCAGCCGGGCGTAGAGAAAGCACGCATAAGAGAGGAAAGAGAGATTAGGATTAGACGGGAGCGAGGAAGCGGCATAGTTTGACGGACACAATTCCTCGACTCTTATACAGAGTTTACGTTAGGAAAAATAAGATATATATTATTGTACATGTAAAATTCACAATTGCGCGGCCCGGACCGCTACTCTAATTATCATTAAGGATTTTTCAAAATTGCGTGGACACAAAGGGCGACCGTCTCGCGACAAGCGGACGCGCGCGCGTTCGCGCGACGGCTTCCGTATATCGCAGGGTCTTTGGAAGCGGGTTTTCGATCGTCGATGTATTATTTCGACGAGCGGATACGAGAAAGAATCGAGGAGAGAGAAAGAAAAAATAATAGAGAGTGTAGGTATCCGACGATCGTCGCGTTCGTCGTGCGATCACGTGCGCGACGCGGCGGCCGATAAACCAAGTAGCGTTTCCCCGCGAGACAATCTTCATTCTTCGGACGACCAAACAAACCGCGCGATCGAGCGTACTTCCTCGTGGCTTCCGTTCCGTTCGAGAACGAGACAATATGATCGCTGATGCTGCGAGAAGTATCGAGTACAACGGAAACTGCATATTTCGATCGATCGAGCGTCTAAGTAAAAAAATGGCCAATGTCATGTCGGGACCCTTTGCATGCTTTCACAAAGTACTCTACTATTCCGCCAACAAACCGATTATCCTCGTCGACTTTACGTCACGGGATTATGATATGGAGAAGAGAGGATAGCTGGAAGCGCCAAATTGGTCCGCCTTCAAAATTCTTGCGGATTTATTTCCACACTGATGATTTATCAACACGATTAGTCAATCCGTTCGTAAATACGAAGTAATTATTTTTTAAAGTTATTACGTGCTGAGAGCTACTCTCTATTCGGAGGACTCCGAACGTATCACCGGCTCGCTCGATCTACTTACGTTTTATGCTTCTTCGAGGGCGAGTCTCTCGCTCTCGAGGATACCTCCAGTATTCTCGACTATCCGGCGGAGTCGAACGCTTCTTAGAAGAGATCGAGCGGAGCCCGATCGCTCGATGAGTCTCCCCCCGCTCTGGAACCCACGCGGCGCGACCGCGTGCGTCGTCGCACAGTCGTCGCAAGTGGCATTTTTATAATTTGTACGTTTCAGTTTCGAAATAAGTATTATCGCACGCGCGCACACACTCACACATACATACACACACATGTATCTGCCTCTTTACGATATCGTACAATTATAATTATGCAATTAGACATACAATATACACAATCATGTACGCGTCGCGCGCGAGATAAATGTTATCGACCGCCCTCTAATTTATGTATACAACACAAACACGCAGCGTATAAATAGTAAATATGCGCAGATTTCTTAGTTACAGTAGATGCTTAGGCATGTGTTAGGATCTTAATCGTATAGTAAGCGACTAGATAAGTAATTGATTAGGAGAGGAAGGAGTGAACCGTTGAACATATCGCTAATTAAAAGATTTGCAACGTGCGGAGCGCGCGCGGGGAGTTCGTACCATTTGTAGCAGATCGGCGGGTACGGCTCGGGACGCCTCGAGGATGATTCACGACGATGGACGATATCCGCCCGAAGAGAGAGCAGATGATTCTCTTTTTTCGTGCCAAGGATAAGTCTATTGCGCGACGAGCCTCGATCCATATCCCATTGAGAGTTCCTGATATTGAAGCATTCCTTGAGTAAATCGACGGTTGTGAGAGGATGTGCACCGTGAAAATAAGCGAATATCTCCAAGAAATATCAAACTATGTGTGCAATTTACGCGAAGGATAATACTTGAGGAGGCAAGTCATTTGCCGACTACGCGAATACGTTTGCACCGTTGGCTTCTTGTACGACGGATCAACGAAGATGCACACACATAGATACGAGAGGAAAACAAAAGGTAACAAGTTAGAATTGTAGAAACGTATTTACGGCGACTTTATAGAGGCGTGCAAAGCCGTAAAAACCGATCGGGGGAACTCCTCGAGGAACTTAAAAAGTGTTCTCGACGGAAAGCCGTGCGAGGCGGAATTTCGCCAAAAATCCTCGATGTCGTTTCTATCAAGGATCGAGAATCGCTCACCAAAAGGGACGTACCACGCGCGCATTCCGGCGAAGCTCGCGGATTTTTGTCTAATCGACGTTTTGTTGAAGTCAATTAAATTTTACTGATATAACTGATAACTGAATGTAGAGAGAAGTAGAGAGAGAGAAAGCGAAAGAGCGCGTGTTGGAAGGGGATTGTTGTGCGGAGGAGTAAGTGAACGAGAGAAAGGATGAGAGAAAGAGAGAGTATGTGAGAAAGAGAAAGAGAGAATGAAGGTGAGAAAGGGGCGTATTCGCGAGAATGTAGTATATCGCACGACTTTGACGGCTAAATTATACGGAGGGGCGGGAAGGGGTTTTCAAGCCGAAACGCGCAAACGAACCCGTACATGGCAGGGAAGGAAGTGGCGAAACTGTGAAAACAAAGCGAATGCCGGCCCGGGCATAGTGTGCTGTTTGTGTGCCAAAGTAGGCTTAGCCGTTTTAATCTTTAGAACGGGGATCTCTTGGTGAGCTGCGCGAACGGGATATCCTTGTTCGATCGTCGCGAGCGCCGATTCCCAGGGCTTTCCCCCTCTGGTATACGCATGTACAGCGTTTTCCCAGGATCGGCGTCTCGCCGATCGAGAAGTACCGACCAATCAGAGCTAGTTGTTTAGAGACGTAGCGAGTAGCCGGCATGAGCGAAGGGGCCAGTCTTTGCATCTATGATCTGTATCTTTTTCGGACCTCTGATACTACGCTATTTACTTGGACTGCATTTATACATTCTTAACCGGACTTATGTTCCGAGTACACTTAACGCACGAGGGGCATTCACGCGAGAATCTACACACGTATACCTCAAGTAATAAGACACACACAAATTTACACGATCATTTATACAGACGCACACACAGATTCCAGCGGATATAGCTTTTACTTCGCCGGACGAACTAGATCTTACTTTTACATTTTAAATACCTTGTTTATATTTCGCTGTTCATCGATCTAAGGACATTTGAGAATTGTATTTGGTTTTACAGTAATTGGACTTTATTTTATCTATTTTATTCGGATCGTTTTGTGTGCATGTATTTTTTTTTAAGCGACTTATGTTCGTAGCGCTAACGTTCATGTCTTTTCGATTTTCATCGCGAGACATAACGTGACAGTGTCACAAGGGAGGGAAGAGAGGAAGGGAGAGAAGAAGAGACCGTGCGAAAACTTCCGTAAAAAAAATCGTACTTTTGGCACGATATTGTCTAAACCGTACCTGAACAACGCTCGGATAGAGTGTTTACTTTTGACCTCGAACTATTGTATTATCCTTTCCGCGAGTCGCAACGTCGAGCACCCAACACTCGCGCCAGATTGCCGATTTATATATTTGCCGATCACTTGTTTCTTAGCACATTCCTGTGGACGCGTGCGACGTGCGTCCACCCACACGGAATCACATGATACACACGCACACGCTATCACCTATGTGTACGTTTCCCTTTTGTTTTCCTTTTAACCGATGTAAAATCCAAACGTTTTTTTCTTTTACGAAAAAATGCCAATCCACCACGCTAATGGTGACAATCAGCTCTTTTGCTCGCAAGAGGGAGGAATCGTGCCGCGAGATTCTTCCCGTTATTGCCAAAGTTTCGCGAACGTTCCTTCGTAAGGGGCTATTATTAGTAGAATTACCGGAAACGGGGCAGCTATATACGGAGCTGTAGATCTCTACAGGGTGCCCGACGTTAAAAATCGGCACAGCTATTCGATCTATTCATCCGCCGAACGCGTACGATACACGGCCTTCCTCCTTTCGATTCGGACAGTCCTCGCGTGATAAGCGCAAAAGGAAGAGAGAAAAGAAGAATAGGAGGCACCCTGTAGACAGATAGATCGACTATATCACTAGCTAGGTTGAGGGGGGCCGAGGTGAGGGTTGGAGTAGCCAGCACTCGCTACATGGTGTCGTAGATTATTCAGACTCCGAAATTTCCGCAGACTTCGTCGTGCGAGGAGAACGATCGATATAGATCCGAGATCCGGGGATCGCGAGTAATTTTCCGATCGAGAATGGTGCCCGCGCGAATCGACGGGAGTACGACGAAAATTTTCGTTACGAAAAAGATTGATGAACGGATAGCCATCTCATTGAGCGAAAGTATTGAGCATACATTCGATGAGAGCGTTGTGACTTAACTATATCGATGAATAGTGGTCTCTGCCTAGATCTCTACAGGGTGCCCGACGTTAAAAATCGGCACAGCTATTCGATCTATTCATCCGCCGAACGCATACACGGCCTTCCTCCTTTCGATTCGGACTGTCCTCGCGTGATAAGCGCAAAAGGAAGAGAGAAAAGAAGAATAGGAGGCACCCTGTAGACAGATAGATCGACTATATCACTAGCTAGGTTGAGGGGGGCCGAGGTGAGGGTTGGAGTAGCCAGCACTCGCTACATGGTGTCGTAGATTATTCAGACTCCGAAATTTCCGCAGACTTCGTCGTGCGAGGAGAACGATCGATATAGATCCGAGATCCGGGGATCGCGAGTAATTTTCCGATCGAGAATGGTGCCCGCGCGAATCGACGGGAGTACGACGAAAATTTTCGTTACGAAAAAGATTGATGAACGGATAGCCATCTCATTGAGCGAAAGTATTGAGCATACATTCGATGAGAGCGTTGTGACTTAACTATATCGATGAATAGTGGTCTCTGCCTCTTATCGAATCCTGCGTATCGTCTATCGCTCGGTTCGTCGACTCGGTTTGTTCGACGGGAAGAATCACAAAGATGACGCGGTGAGATATCGCACTCTGACCAAGGAAATTCGGGGTCTGGTAGAGAGCCACGCGTAGTAAACGAAGCTTAGCCTACGCAGAGGGTATATATAAACTATATATGTATGCGAGCATACACAAGAGAGCAGATATAGACACGCTCCGCGAGTCGCACGTATACATACACACATACATACACCATACATGTACAATTTAAACAGGCGCAGTGACACGTACATACGCAACATACACACACGACTTTTATCTACTATATATTTGATATATCGCATTGTAACAGGTGTGTCCAAAATGCGCAACGGCTGCATCCCGATAATCTATATTTTATTAATAAGGGATAAGTCTATATTATTATATTATAGAGTTACTAACGTGTTACACGAATTATCACATAAATTAGAAATGAAATGAGATGAGATTAATCTATATAAATATATTGTATAATGTGCACAGCGGGGGGAAAAATTCAAAAGAGACCACACAAAGGGCGAATTAGAAAAACACACACATACATACACACATAAGCAACGCGATCGGACGGAGGCGCGCGAAGTGTATAAGATACATGACGAGTTTTAAATGACTATACCTGTGCTATATCGTAGGTATATCGTTGAAATTCAGGAGATATGGTCTGCTTGCCTAATCGGGGCCTTAGGCGTCGTTCACACACCGAGAGAGGAAAGAACAAATCTAAAAATACGCGAGACATCAACGCGAAGAAATGTGCATCATCGTCGACTCGCGATTCGCACGGTTTCTCCCGTGCTTTCAACGTTCCCTTATTACAAATTCCTCCCGTGTTAGTGTTAAGACGTCGAGAGGAGGAGACGCGAGTCAGCTGTGACGGAAGTCACCGTTGTCACGAACGATTCCTTTCTTTGATATCGAGAAAACGATTGGGATGTTACATTTGGATGACTGACAGTAAGAAAAAACACCTTCAACACATACACACGCGCGCGCGAATACACGGAGGAATGCAACTCGAAAATAAAATAAGTATACTTTAGTTTATTGCGAGAGAAGAAAAGCGTTTAAAAGACACAGAAGTCTCCAAAGTGTGGACGGTGACAGAGGTCTTCGGGATAGAGCATCGACCGTAAGAGAATAGATCGTAATCGATGGGCGTTCTGTACAAAAGATTAAAGAATCGAGATTGCTCCAACAGATATTGCCCAAAAATTAAGTGTGATAAAATAATTACATATATTAAATAACATAATTCGAAAAAAAAACTAAGTATCGGAACGTAGCAAAATTTGAAGATTATATTTAACTTTCATATAAAAAAAAATACTAAGAATAGAATCATTAATATTTTGTTTTTTCAAACAACTCAGATAAAGTTATTAAGTCTAGGATTCGAATCTTTTAAATTGCTTTTAGCGAAAAGTGGTACTTAAAAAGAATAATTATTCAATATCTATTTTCCCGTTATTTCACGATCGATTTTTATTATCTCGACTTTTTAATTACGAGGGGAATCAAAGTGCAAGGTTTTTTTTTTGTATACGCGACGAACATGAGTCGCTAAAAGTGTCCGGATTATCGTACACTTATTGATTGAGTGATGATTTTCTTGCCTACTCCTACTAGAATCACGATAATTTAAATCCTGAGAATGAAGACGTTTATAACGGATACGCTAAGACTCAGATGTACGAAGGCTCTTCCGTTGATCGATCGTCGTCGACTTTGTGATTTTCCGCGAAAGAAGGAGAAGAGAAGATCGGTCCTTTAGCCCGGAATTATTGGTGGATTTTTACTTTAACTATTTGAATGCTACTTGAGCCTAATTTACAAAGTGATAAAAAAAGAAAGCGAAAAGGCCCTCTCCCCCTTCTTGAGATAAGACAACACGGTCGTGGTCGAGAATGTAGAATACGTTTGTTCTTTCTTCTCGATTAACGCGCGTACGAGGGACGGCTAAATCACGAGAGACACACTATACGTTATAAGTCAGTGAGAGTTGTAGAAATTAATTACTAAGCAGTAGTAGTTAAGCTCGACGGGAAACGTTGCTCGAGTGAGAAGAAAGGGGAGGAAAGAGAGGCGCGCAACCTCTTCTGTAACAAGAGGTGTGTTTAGTAGGGTGAAAAAAGAAAAAAAAAACCAGTTAAGTAGCGTCTTAGAATCGTGTAGTAGCTCCTTTCTAATTAAGCCTCCAGACTAAGTAATGTGTATAGTTAAATGACAATCACTCGACTCTCTATATCGACAAATGACGAAGGGAATCTCCGAGCCGTGATAAGCTGCCTACGCACCGAACTACCCCCTTTCTTTGTGTTTCCTTCCTTTCCTCCCGATTCACCCTATCCCTTTCAACCCTTTCGCAATCGAGACTTTTTCCTTGCTCCGACCACTGGACTTTCTTTCTTCGAGAGACTTTCACCGAACTGGCGGACGAGTAGCGTTCCAATTCGCGAGCTTTACAGCCAATAAATGTAAATAAGAAGAAGATGGACCTAAA